TTAGCATAACATTTGTACTATCTTTTTTACCATGATTAACTCTATTTTCATCCTGGAAAGGGGCTCACTTCTTTCCAATCAAGAAGTCTGACCCTGCTTTGCACCCTGATTCATACAAACCCCTTATAATTCTTTGTATTCCCTGCTCACAGTATTACATGAGAAAAATGCATTGCAGTCATTTTCTCCTTTTGTGGAAATGATACATGACTATATTTAGCATGCTTACAAAACTTAATACACACTGATTATTATCCCAATGTTTGGGCATTCAAAATATATACAGCTGTGCACAGTGGTGCAGGACTATTCCCAGCAACTTGGGAGACTGAGACAGAATGATCACAAATTTGAGGCCAGCCTCAGCAATTTAGTTAGACCCTTTTCCAACATAAGAAACACAAAAGAGTTGGCTATGTGGCTCAGTGCTAAAACAACCCTGATTCAACCTCAAAGAATTTTGTTTTCATTTACAGATAAAAATAAACACATAAATAAATAGTCAGTCCTTCTTATCTGAGGGTCCTCCAACCCCAAACTCAACCCTCTGTGTATCAAAAATACTTGTCCTGGCTATAAACGTAGCGCAGTGGTAAAATGTGTGTTTCTCATACAAGAAGACTCAGATTTTAATTCCAGTTCCCTGAAATCACACCAAAAATCTATAGTAATCATCACTGCGCCAAGGGCAGGAATGGGATTTAGGCTAAAAAAGAAATTACGTTTTTACTGAACATGTATAAATACTTTTTATTTTTGACATTTCCCCCCAAACATTATAAATTATAACTTTATTTATAGTTAATATAAATAACTATTTATATTAACTATAAATAACTATTTATATTAACTATAAATAACTATGGTATTTATTTATATGTGTGTATTGTACTGGGTATTGAATCCAGGTCCTTGGTCATGCTATGAATTTTAAAGGGTTCTCTACTTTCTGCACACAGTAAAAGATTTTTCTGGGGCCTGGCACCATTGTGCACACGTGTAATCCCAGGGACATGGAGACTAAGGCAGGGTGATCATAAGTTCCAGGCTAGCCCGGGGAAGTGACTGAGTCTCAAAATAATAAAGACTGGGGATTTAGCTCAGTCATAGAAAAAAGATTTCTACAAAGATATTTGGTCTTCAAATTTCTGCTCAAAATAGGTTTATTCTCTCCTTTTGCTTGCCAGCAGTACTTTGAAAAAGACGGGTGACATTGAAAGACTCATGTCCCAATTTCAAAATGCATCCCAAAGCTATCAAAACAGTGTTGTTCCTGTCATAAGTCAATGGAACAGAATCAAGAGTTGATCATAAAGCTTCACATTTATGGTCACTTCATTTTTCAGTAAATATGCCAAGACAAGAATCATTAGGAAAGAATAATCTTCAATAAATATCGCTGGGGTAGTTAGAGGTCCACCATATAATTTTTTATTAGATGATATAATATGAAAAATACTAGTGGGGGCTGGGGATATAGCTCAGCTATAGCTTGCCCCACATGCACAGAGCCCTGGGTTAAATCCCCAGCAACACACACACACACACACACACAAGGTACAAATGGTATAAGTGGCCAGACATGGTGGTTCAAGCCTGTGATCCCAGCAGCTCAGGAGGTTCAGATAGGAGGATCAAAAGTTCAAAGCCAGCCTCAGCAACTTTATGAGGCACTAAACAACTCAGCAATACCCTATCTCTAAATGAAATATAAAATGAGGGCTGTTGATGTAGCTCAGTGATTCGGCACCTCTGTTACCAAAATAAAGAAAAAAAGACTAGAAGTGATTAAGAAAAAATTAAAGATAAATTGGGCTAAAAAGAATAAATAAAATAATTGAACTTCATCAACACTGAAATTTTTGTGCTATGAAGGACTCTGAAATAGGGAAAAGACAGCTAACAAAATGGGAGAAAATAACTTTAACTCATACATTTTTTTAATGCCCATTGGAGTATACATGAACAAACCCAGAACTTAATGCATGATCGTAAACAAGTGCTCTACTACTGAGCTACACTGCTAGTCTTGTTTTACTTACACATTTTTATTATGAGAAAGCACTAAGTTACACTGGCTGGCCTGGAATTGGTGATGCTCCTGCCTCAACCTCTCAAATCGCTGGAATTACAGAAATGGGCTGACAGTATCTCACTTAGTTGCTTGATGCCTGGCTATTTTGCTGAGGCTGGCTTTGAACTTGTGATTGTCCTACCTCTGCCCTCCCGAGTTGCTGGGAGTACCCATGTGAGCCCGCCATGGCAGGTGACAAAAATTTTTAATGAGAGATTCTGTGTCATTAGTAGTGCAAAATGAAGGATTTGAAATTTTCATAAAATATAACCACATTGGGTTTTTGTGGTTTTTAAATATTCACTCAACAAATATTTGATGTGAGCCTCTGATGAAATGAATTCTGTGCTCAGTAACCATGTTTCCAGTGGTAGAGCAAACAAACATAAAATAGTAGTTAAGATTTATTAGATCCTAATATGCTACTTTAGAAAAGTTAAGAGATGCGCCAAAATGACCTGAACTAATAAATGAAAAAGAAAAAGATGATTAAAGTAAACCTGTTATTTCACTATAACTTACCTACAGAAGACAGCATAAATCCTAAGCTCACAAAATTTTTAAAAAGTGAACACACTTGTGTTGTCAGTGTGCAATATAATTGTACCTCAGAAACATTCTTCTCCCCTCTTAATCCCTAGCTACCTACTAAAAATGTCACTCTCCTTCTCTTCTGACATTTTGTATTATAAAAAGAAGTCATTTTTTGCCTCTCAGCACTGTAATTATGAGATTAATTCATATTGTGTATAATTATAAATCATTCTCATTGCTAAGTCGTATTCCTTTATTATGAATAGTTAAAATTTATTGGGCGCTTCTGCTGGTAATGACGTTTCAGTTATTTCCAGTTTGGGATAATTATGAATAATGCCTCTGACTTTGGGAAACAAGGAAGTGCATTTGTGTCTAGTGGAGTTCCTGGATTGTGAATAGATGACATGTTTAGCTGATTAGATTTGTTGATACTAATAGTTTTCCAAAATTAATTCTCATTTCTTACATTTTCATGCACAGTATACAAGAGTGTTTCTGAACATTTTTAGTATTTAATATTTTGTTTCTTGTAAGGGTTCTATTTAGTTATGTAGTTTCTCTTCTTTAAACCCTCCCACCGCTTATTGTACCTGTAATTGAATCCAGAGGCATTTAACCTCAGAGCCACATCACAAACCCTTTTTTCGATTTGTGTTTGACAGGGTCTCATTGAGTTGCTTAGGGCCTAAGTTGCTGAGTCTGAGACTGGATTTATAGTTATGATTCTCCTACTTTGGCCTGTGGAGCTGCTTGAATTCAGTGATAGGCCACCTCGCCCACTCCGCCTCCTGCCTTGCTTTTTTTTTTTTCTTTTTTAATAATTTGTTATGAGAGCAAAATGCAATTTAATTTACATCCTACTTTTTTTTTCTTCCTGTCTTTCTTCCTGTGTTGAGGATCAAATTGGCGTCGGGCATACTAGACAAGCGCTCCTATCACTTAACTACATTCTCAGTTCCATCTTAACCATGTTTAAGTGTAGGGATCAGTAGAGTTTAGTATATTCAGTGATGTGAAACAGATCTCCAGAACTTTTTCATCTTGTGAATTTCAATCTATTCCTATTAAATAACAACTACTGTCTTTTCCCCCTAGCTTCTGGTTCTTTCTAATTATATAAATGTGACTGTTTTAGATACCTGATATAAATAGATTCATGCAGTATTTGTCATTTTTGTGACTGGTTATTTTCTTTATTATAATGGCTTCATTTCTTTCAATATTTTTATATATTTCAGAGAACTTAGATTTAATACCTCAACCCCTTATTGAACCACGATCCATATTTACTGACTCAGCTCCTAGACATTATGCTTAATTTTCTATAGTTCACTGAAGAAAAACATCTGTGAAAGACCCATATATCATCAATATCATCACAAGGTATATCTTCTTTGCTAGGCTGGGGGTTGGTGTAGCTCAGTGTTAGAGCACTTACCAAGCATGTGTGAAGCCCTGGATTCAGTTCCCAGCCTTGCAAAAAAGAATCCTCTTTCCTAGGTTTAGTCATTGCACTTGGGTATCTGAGGTAGGAGAAGCATTTGAAAGTAGTCTGGGCAACTGATCAAGACTCCATCTTGCTGGTCACAATGGTGCACTTCTGTGATTCCAGAGTCACAACCCTAAGTTACATAGGGCCTTGCTAATTAATTATTATATTTTGCATTTTGCAAGTCAGCTGCACCATTTTAGTCTTATGATTAAGATAGGTGTGATACAGTCTTGTAATAGCATAACGAAATCATAGAAATTGCATGGTCATTGGTTTACATGGTATCCTATATAGTAACATGAGACACAAAAGTAATCTATACCTTTGTCACAGTTCAATGTCAAGTTTGTTGATGGAACCCAGGGGCTTTTAAGCACTCAGCCACATCCCCAGCCCTTTTTATATTTTTATTCTGAGACTATGTCTTGATAAATTGCTGAGGATGGTTTTGAATTCCCAATACTCCTGCCTCACCTCATAAGCCCCTGGGATCACAGGTGTGCAGTACTCCATCCTGCTCTACATTTATTTTTAATATTGGGATTCCTTGTTTCTTTCCATTTGTGGAAAAGCAGAGCAGGTATTTAAATTTTCCTGAGTTCTCGGTTTCCCCTTTTGGAACCCAAACAAATAATCTTGTTTTTTAAATTTTTTTTAGTTGTCAATGTAAATTTTATTTATATGCGGTGCTGAGACTTGAACCCAGTGCCTCACACATGCTAGGTAAGCGCTCTACCACTGAGCTACAACCCCATCACAAAACAAAGAATGTTGCACTATTTTTTTAAAGAAAGAAATAAGCTAATATATAACCATCCAGAACTTAAAGAGAAATGTCCATTGCATTTAAATGTAGGATACTAGTTTTTCATAGATGAATGCATTCTGCTTTTGCAGGTTATAAGAAGAAGCAGTGAGGAAGAAAAAGTTCTTTGTTTGGTCCGTGTGCGTACAGGCCACCACTGTGAAACTGCTGTGATGGTGGTGTTCATCATGATATGGGACGCCTTATGTCCTCCAATTGCCGATAGTTTGTATCAGGAGATTGTTGAGAGTCTACGGTCATACAATGGTCATCCGACAGACCGAAGATGTACCTTCAATGAAAAGTAATCAAATCTGTTTTGTTCTGATTTGACAGTCAGATCCCTATTATATAATGGTAAATTGTTAATTAACTAACAACTAAGTATACTGTATGGGAAAATAATATTTTAGGTATTCTGGTAGAATAAACAAATATTTTGTTAAACAGAAATTAGTGTCATTGATAGGGCCATTTTAGAATATTCTCCAAATAAATGCAGTGGGGAACAATGCTATTGATTGAACCTATTTCATATTAACCAAGCATTCTAACAGTGTGCTCTATCCCCAGCCCCTCATATTTTTTACCACTTCCTTATTTTTTGAACCCAGATATGTTTTAATTTTGAGACAGATCTTGCTAAATTGCTTAGGGTCTTGCTAAATTTCTGGGGCTAACCTTAAGATTGTGATCTCCTGCCTCAACCTTCCAGATTGCCAGGTATTCAAACATGCACAGGAAAGTAGTTATAGCACAAAGAAAGGTACTTCAAAAGAATTTGTATCATTTTGTATTTATTCTATTCAAAATAAGAGAATATTTGCTTTTACTCCTCTCCAGCCATTGATTATGTTGTCAAATTTGAATTTTTGTCTATTAATGTCATCAGCATAATTTTAATTGCATCTTATTATGAACCAGTATTTTTTCAAATGGTCAGGAGCCACTTACCATTGGATTTTTGTTTTGAGAAGAGTTTTGACCTTGACATAGCTGTTGCTACCTTTTGCAGGCAAGCATCCCTCCTACCACAACTTCCTGAGTGCTGGAACTATATGTGGGCACCACTGAACCCAGCCCCTTTTTTATATTGTAGTAAATCCTTTGGTAGCTCTTGCAGGACATTTTTTCTATGGGATTGTTCTTAACTTTTTTTCTCCCCTGTTTTTTTTTTTTATATATCAATGCTACTAAAAGTTTGCCTGGTTTATAATTTGCAAATTATTTTCCCAGATCATTTTTCTTTATGCTTTTTGTTGTTGTTGTTGTAGGTGGACACAATACTTTATTTCATTTTTCATGGTGCTGGAGGTACAAACCCAGTGCCTCACATGTACTAGGCGATCACTCTACTACTGAGCCACAACCCCAGTCCAGTCCCTCTTTATACTTTTTCTGTGCCGTTTTTGTTTCCTTGCTGTTTTATTATGTAGTGCTGGGAATCAAACCCCAGGTATCTGCATCCCCAGCCCTATGTTTTATTTTAATATTTGATATCAAATATCAAATATTTTAATATTTGATAGGACTCACTCACTCTTACTCTGTAAGATTTTCTTTTCTTTTTTAGTATAATATATGTGATTGTGTGTGTTTATTAATGTTGAGCTGAGTGTCGAACCCAGTGCCTCACACTTGCTGGGCAAGTTCTCTTACTACTGAGCCACAAGTCCATCTGTAAGATTTTCTTTTTGCTTCCAAATATAAAATTTTATTTTATGAAATAAAACTTTGTATACTTTTAATAATCTAATGATATAACTGGCATCTTCATAATATTGAGTCTTATTCAATAGCTTGAATTTTCTATTCATTCAATAGTTTCCCTTAAGAATGTTTTAAACTTTTCCACATATAAGTTTCCTTCTTAAAAGAAATGTCATTATACAAAATGTAAATGAAATTTTACATCATTTTCTTCCCAATCCTTACATAAGATTAAGGTTAATTATTTTATTATGTTGATATATAACAGTAACACTTCTAGTATTAAATTATTTCATGAAAATTGCCTTTTAGAAAATATTATATACTCTCATTCGAATACCCTTTTCTTTAAAAGATGCATTATAGTCACTTTCCTGTACCTAAAATTCAATGTGTTTTATTATTTTGTTTTTTAGAGTTCAAAGAGCTTTTATTTCAGTTTTTGGTTTTTAGGGCATTGAAATCATTAAAGGTAAAAGTTTAATTTTGTTGACTCCTGGTGAAATTTTGATTGTTCAGAGAGTTTCCTTCAGATTCACATCAGTTTTGAAAGTATTGGTAGTTATATTATACGCCACATTTAATATTATAAGCTATCTGAAGTCAGTTTATTCCATTTTTGGAGAGGTTAACTTACAGCTCTATTAAGCCTCACAATTTGTCACATTTCTTTGGTTTGAAATAATCATTGAGAGTATGTTAATTTATATTTTTCTCTCTTCCCTATGTATTTTTGCTGTGATATACATAAATTATTTGTTTGGCACCTTTAATTTCCTTCTACAATTTCAAATTTAATTGAACCCTTGGATCTAAATTTGCAACTCATTTTTTTCTTTATCAGTTATTGTACTATTAATGTATCTCCAAACCCTCCAAAATACATCTTCTACCTCTATAGGAAGTTGCCATGTTTCTGTGTCCTGTTTTTTTTTCCCCCTCAAAGTTTTTTATTTTAAAATTTTTTTTGGATGTTCTTGTTGTTAATGGGAATTGAACTTAGGGACACTCAAGCACTGAGCCACATTCCCAGCCCTTGTTCATATTATTTTATGTTGAGTCAAGGTCTAGCTGAATTGCTGAGGCTGGCTTTGGACTTGGGATTCCCCCGACTCAGCCTCCCAAACTGCTGTGATTACAGGTGTGAGCCACCACACCTGGCTTCAAAGTTTGTTACATTGATTAATCTTCATTTTCTTCATTATAAGGAATGTTATGTGATTTTCCTGACTTCACAGCAAGGCATAATTTTAATCTGAATTTCCGCATTATTTTCCTTGACTTTAAAAATAATTTTTATGTTTTTTCACTTTTTGTATTTTTTGATCATTACATAAGTCATACATATATTCTACTTCATGTTTTAAGCATTACACAAATTTAGAATCCCCTGAAGAATGTACACTATTTACTTGCTTTTACATCTTTAATAATATATATGGGTCTGAGGTGGTGGCTCAGTGACAGAGCGCTTGCCTTGCACACGAGAGGCATTGGATTTGATCCTCAGCACCACATAAAAATAAATAAACACAATAAATATTAAATAATAATAATAATAACGGTCTAGTTTAGGTCTTCAGAAATACCCCCAAATTGCTGCATGCAGTAGTACATGTCTACAATTTGAGAGACTGGAGCCTGAGACAACTTAGGAAGACTGTCTCAAAATAAAATGGCTCAAAGGAATGGGGCAGTGGGGGATTGTAATCTTAAAAACAAACATTTTATTTAAAAGTTTAGTTTTCAGGGTTGGAGTTGTGGGTCAGTAGTAGAGTGTTTTTCTTAGACATATGAGATACTGGGTTTGATCCTTAGCACACATAAAAATACATAAATAAACTAAAAGTATTGTGTCCATCTAAAACTAAAAATATATATATACATTTTTTTAATTTTTATTGTTGGTTGTTCAAAACATTACATAGTTCTTGATATATCATATTTCACACTTTGAAAAATATATTTTTTTAATGTTTACTTTTAAAAGGCTGGGATGTAACTCGGTTGGGAGCATGCTTAAAATGCACAGGCCCTGGGTTGGATCCCCAGCACCACACACCCAAACAAAAAAAGAAAGAAAGAAAGAGTTTAGTTTTTAAATAGATAAATTTGGTAACTGATCTGTTATCCATTTATACTTTTATAGTTATATGACTCTCAAATATTCTGTCTCAGGTATTATCCTGCTTTATCTTTCAACTCACTTACCATTACCCTCTTGCAGTCGTAACTGTATATGTCAAGGAACTGACCCAAAGACTTGTGGAGCTTCATACTCTTATGGCTGTTCATGGAGCATGTATTTCAATGGATGTAAATTTGGTAGAAGCCCAAACCCCAGAAGGTTTAGAATTGATCCCAGCTGTCCCAGACATGTAAGTGTCCTCTTCCCTTTTAAATTACATAGCGTGTATATAAATGTATTCCTTTAACGTTTTTGAAATACTAAATATGTACATATATTTTTAAAACTACATATATTAAAACTTAGTAATGAAATCAAGTGTGGTAGCTCATGCCTATAATCCTAGCTACTTGGAGGTAGAAGCGTAGGAAGTTTTAGGCTACTCTTTGTAATTTTGTAAGACCCTGTTTCAAAAATAAAATTTACAAAAGGTAGTTGTGTTACAGTACCTCTGAGTTTGATTTCCAGGACCACCAAGAAAATATGTCAAGAAATAAAAAGTAGTAATGAAATACCAAATATGTTTACGTAAATAATTAAAAGTTCCAAATATCCTGCTATGGTAGCACAGGCCTATAATTCCTGTAATTCAGGAGGCTAAGGCTGGAGGATCCAAAGTTTAAAGCCAACCTCTGTACCTTATCGAGGCACTTCGCTACTCAGTGAGACTCTGCCTCTAAATAGAATGCAAAATAGGTGTTGTGATGTGGCTCTGTGTTTGGACTCCATCCCAGGTACACACACAAAAAAAAGTTCAAATAAATTAGGTAAAGATATTATTTTTGGCTCCTTCCTCCTGCGCCTCAACCCTCGTGGAAACTATTGATAGATGAACCTAGAATTTTACACTTCTAGTAGAAAAAAACCATTTACCATTTGCCAACATTTCAAAGACTCAGAAAGTTTAACTACCCACAGAACCTCTATGACAGAATTACTAAAGGACGTAATGCAAGAAGAAGACTTAAGAAACCGGAACGAGTCTGTCCGGAACACAAGGCCATGGTGAGCAAAGAAATTAGTTAAATTTACAATTAAGTTTAAATAAGTTGAGTACTTTCTTTTTTTAATTAAAAGAAGCATCTATTAGTATAATTACAAATTCGTATCAACTTGGTGGAGGTGCGAAACGGGTGCCATGTGGCTCAGTGGGTACTAAGTGTGGCAATATTTTTGTGTTGTTTGGGTGAAGAGGACTTATGTATTAATCATATTAATTAACTTGAAGATTGGTGTTTTCTCTGTTCAGCAGTGACCAAAAGTAAAAAAATAGTATATATTACAACCACTATACATATACATTTACAGAAATAAAAAATTATAGTGTGGGAAAAAAACAAAAAATTAAGACATTATCAAAGACCAAAACTTAGTGAAATTATAAAGTAAAATGTTAAAATATTTCTAAAAGTCTATATCCAGCTAGGGTTGTAGCTCAGTGTAGAGCATTTGCTTGTCTAGCATGCGTGAGCTACTGGGTTCAATACTCAGCACTACATAAAGATAAACAAATGAAATAAAGGCATTCTGTCCATCTACAACTACAAAAAAAATTTTTTTTTAAAATAAACTAAAATAAAGTTGTGTTCAAAAGAAAAAGGCATATCAACATTGTTGTAAGAATCCCCTAAGTTTTGTGAGAAAACCATATTTGAGAAAAATATGTATTTACAAATTTCAACAAATTGAATAAGATTGATATTTTTACTAGTTGTGAGAGAAAAATACATTTTAAAAGAAAACATTTCTTTCAAAACTTTAGCAAAAGAGTTAAGAAAAATCACTACCCTGACACTGAGGCTAAGGCTCCAAATGGAGAGCTCGCCACCAGCCTGGGCGATTTAGGGAGAACCTGTCACACAATGAAGAATAAATAAAAAAGGCTGTGACCCGGTCATACCTCATCAGTCCTCAGAAACTTCGCCGTCTCAAACTGGGGGGTTAAGTGGAGATGTGGCTAAGTGGTATAGGACCCTTGGTTGAAAAAGGCGGTACTGGAATATAGCTCAGAGGTAGCACGTGTATAGGTTTTGTCCTCAGTTCACCCTACTCCCCAAAAGAGGCAAGAAAATTGACAAAAGGAGTTTTAAAGTCGTTAGTCTACCAAGTGGCAAGTGTGTGGGAGCACACCTGTAAATCCAGAAACTGAGGAAGGGCAGGAAGGAGCATGGCAAGATTGAGGCCAAATTTGAGAATATGACAAGACCCTCTCTCAAAATAAAAAGGACTGTTGTTGTAACCCACAGATAGAACCCTCTGGGATTCAATACCCAGTACCCCATCTTCCTGCAAAAATCAAAATATATAAAAAACAAAGCAGTTGGAACTAGTCCAACACAAAAGTCGAACAAAAGGTAGAAAACTATAAAAATTTACTGAAGTTTATATGAAATATATAAAATTTGAAATACCTAAAAATGAACAGGTACTATGCTCATAATTTGATGTCCATCTACCTTAGAATTAAGTAATTTTTTGTTTTTAAATATTATGTAAGGGGCTGGGGCTGTGGCTCAGGGGTAGAGCGCTCACCTAGCACGTGCCAGGCCCTGGGTTTGATCCTCAACACCACATAAAAATAAAAAAAATAAAAATAAATATTATGTAAGTATCTTAGTATAAATATATTAATATTTATGGTGAAATTTCATACTACAACAATTATAGATAGAACTATGTAATTAGTAGTTGTGACATCCTTTTTGTTTTTATTAATGAATAAAATTTATATAGTGCTTATAGGAAGAAGCATCGCTCATGGCCAATTATGTCTGAATCTCAGCAGACAAGGCAGAGTGAGGTGCAGGTGGCAACCTTATATGCCACCTCAAGAATTCTGTAAGATCATAGAAGGATTTTAAGGAGGAGTTTCCTTAATGAGCCCTCCCTTGATGCTTTTTTAATAATTTGACTGCAATTAGCCTTGAAAGGGTTTAGGAACCTGGGCTACCAATCTATGAGAACAATCCAGAACAGGGATTAATGGTGGCTTGGAATATGACTGTGACACAGGAAATGTGTGCCGTGGTTGGTTTGGAGAGGTTATAAGAACTGGATTGTGGGCTGGGGTAGTGGGTCAGCCGGAGAGCGCTATAGCACATACAGGGCCCTGGGTTAGATGTTCAGGACCACATAAAAATGAATGAATGGAATAAAGGTATTGTGTCCAATTACAACTAAAAGATAAATATTAAAAACAAAAAAAGTTGGATTCTGATGTTCTTCCTTCATATGGAACACACTAAGACCAGGATGGCAGAAGACAGACAATGAATTCAATTTGGGCAGGAGAGGTTTGTAGTCCCCAAGGGAAATCTTAAGTGGTGACAGAGCTAAAGAGGAGGTCTAGGTGATAGTTATAAAAGCCATCAATTTAAGTATGATAGTCCTAGAGATCAGATGTGGAGTAAGAAGAGCACAAGGATGTTACCAATAAAACAATGTCAGAATCCTCAAGAGTAGACCAAATAAATGAAGTCACGAATGAATTTTCCAGTGGGTATAAACAGATGAAGAACGCAATCTAGAAGTGGAACCTACATGCATTTATTTCTTGTATATAATATAAGGATTGCGGCTGGGGTTGTGGCTCAGTGGAATAGTGTTCGCCTACCACGGGGCCCTGGGTTCGATCCTCAGCACCACATAAAAATAATATAAAGGAATTGTGTCCAACTATAACTAAAACATAATATTTTAAAAAATAAATGAAAGAATAAACATAAGTCAGTAGGGAAATGAATGTCATTTCTCATGCTTCATAGTTGCCCAGATTGAGTCATGTCAATCTACAGAATTGACTTCCTACCTCTATATTGGGTAGCTTTGTTTTCTGCAATAATTTAAAAGCATGTTAGAGGAGAACTTGACCACATGAAGGTGTTTTAACTATATTTATGGCATCTGTATCCCAGCTCTCACATGAGGAAATTGCCTCAACCTTGTCACGTTCTTCCTTCATCCTTTATCTCAATCTCCTTTAAACTGACTTCCTTAGATGTGATAGAAGTCACATTTGACAAGATTCCAACTTCAAATATAATAGAATCATTTCTGGAAAACATTAACTGGTCTTTGAAGTCTTCTGGTTTTCAATGTCTCCCCTCCCTGCTTCATTCTTCATACCATCAGCACCAGCAGCACTTTAAGTAGATACTCCTATCATTGATTTTCCTTTTTAAACTTCCCACTTCTCTAATCAGTGAGTCCAGATGCTAATGTGGTGCTCATGGTCCTCATATTCCTATCAGATCTATCTAAATTTATAGTCATTATGGTGAAGAAGAGGCAATACTGGTTTTAGACAACTAGTTACTCAATTGATTACCTAATTATCTTTTATCCTCAGGAATTTTATGTGGTAATGGGAAACAAACCCAGTGCATCCCGCATGCTAGGCAAGTGCTCTATCCCTGAGCTACAACCCCGACCCACTTTGCTATTCTTTAAAAACACACACACACACACACACACACGTATATCAGGCCTTGTCAAGTGTTTTGGGGTGTTTTTTGATTCCTTTTCTTTTTCCTTTCTTTTCTTTGATAATGGAAATTAAACTCAAAACCTTGCCTTGTATTTGTCAAGAACTCTACCTCTCAGCCAGTTTCTTTGAAATGTGAAGTTTTACTTTTAAGACAAATTTAGTATATTTGAAACTGGTAACCCAGGATCCAATATATATACTATACATGTTTTTGATATGTTGCTCCTCCTCATTCTTCTCTATTATATAGAAATTCATCGCATTGTGCTGGTTTGCATTCTGTTCTTCAACGTACCCCTTGCCAGCAAGAATCTCCGATTGTATCAAGTGTCCAGTAGTATTGAATATATATAAAGTATGATTCTCATTTGTAGCAACATTTTTTTTTATGAATTTTTTGTTTGATTGCTTGCTTTTGTGGTACTGGGAACTGAACCCAGGGGTTCTGTAACACAGCTATACTTTCACCCCTTTTTAAATTTGTATTTTTAGACTGGGTATCTCAGAGTTTCTGTGGCCTAAAACTTATGATCCTCTTCCTTCAGCCTTCTGAGTGTCTGGAATTACAGGCCTGTACCACCATTCTTAGCTCTTTAACACTATTTAGATTTTAAATTTTTATTTCCAAGTATGCTATTAAGGTATTACAACTGCAAATAATTTTCCTTTTCATTACAATAAATAATCCCAGCAATTTGGAAGGCTGAGGCAGAAGGATCACAAATTCAAGGCCACAAATTAGCAAGTTTCAAAAGATTAAAAAAAAAAACAGAAAGAAAGAAAAAGAAAAACTCTTGTCTGTGATAGTTATTTTATCAGGATGAAGATGAATTATCCATCAGGCATCCATTAGCAATTTATCATAGAATTTAATACATTAAATTCTTTTAAATGTCATAAAATAACCTATATGGACTGTCTTTTCCTATAGGAACAATTCTTTGAAGGTATTTTACAGGGTTTGGCTACAGAATTAGCTCCATTGTATAAGCAGATGGTTCCTGAAGCTTACAAAAACCAGGTATGTTTTGAAACATTTTACATTGTTCTTACATATGGTTCAAATTATAACAAAGTACTTATTAGCGGGGGGGGGGGGGGGGGGGGTGTATCCATGTATGTACACATAGATATATATGTATATGTGCAGGTATGGACTAGTTTTACAAGGATCTAGTAGAGTTTTTGTTGTTGTTCCTTCAATTTTTAACTCTTTCCATTCTAGGAGTTCAGTTAAAGAAGAAGCCTCAGGAAGCTAAGGCCAGACAGTGCAAGTTTTATGCCACCCTTAGCAATTTAGCAAACCCTGTCTCAAAACAAAATTTTTAAAAACAGCGTTGAGTATAGCTCAGTTTAGCATACTTGCCAAGCATTGAAGTCCTGATCTTATTACTCAGCAACATAAAACATACAAAACCAAATGCTGGATACAGTGCTTCAAATCCATAATCCCAGAACCAGCGAGGTTTCGCACATTTGTAATCCCAGCATTTTGTGAGGCTGAGTCAGGATGATCTCGTGTTTAATGCCAGCCTCAGTAATTGAGTGAATCTCTAAGCAATTTAGTGAGACCCTGTCTTAAAGGCACAGTGGTAAAGTGCCCCTTTGTTCTATGCCCATTAGAAAAGAACATATTTGTTTTAAATGAATAAATTAATTTAATAGGCTGGGCATTACTATCTTTTTATACGTTAGTGTTGAACAATCCAAAACAGATAAATGGAAATTCATTGAAATCAATGTTTTTGACATCAAATGATACCAGCCTCTGCAACTTTTGAGGCCCTAAGTATCTTTTTCAGACCCTGTCTCTAAATAAAATACAAGAAAGGGTTGGGAATGTGGCTCAGTGGTGAGGTGCCCCTGGGTTCAGTTCCCAGAACCAAAAAAGAAAGGAACATGAAATGATCTACAGTATAAAAGAAAAATGCATGTATTTTAAATATGACTGCAAGTGTTTCTTTTCTGGTTGTTGTTATGGTTTTGAAGTTTTATTTATTTTTAGAAAGGTATTTAAACCTAGGAGCACTCTTTCACCAATCTACCTCCTTTTTCTTTGTTTTAAGACAGAGTCTTGCTAAGTTGAATCCTTCTCCCTCATCCTCCAGAGTTGTTGGGATTAACGGCTTGTGCTACTATGCTCAGTAATTTTTACTTCCTTTTTAAATTTATTTTTTAGTTGTATTATTTTAATGTGGCTCTGAGGATGGAACCTAGGGCCTCACGTGTGCTAGGCGAGTGCTCTACCGCTGAGCCATAATCCCAGCCCAACTTCCTTCTTTTCAAATGTGGTGCTGGCAACTGAACCAAGGGCTTCGTGCATGCGAAACACGTACTATATCACTGAGTTACTACACCCCAGCACTAAAAGTCCTTCCCCCCCCCCCCTTAATTTTATTATAATTTTTGTTTTTTATTTTGTATTATTAGCAGTTGAAACCAGAAGTTCTCTAGTACTGAGGCTGGCCTCACACTTGACCTTTTTCTCAGTTTACTCCACATGCTATTGATGTTAAGCACTTTGTTAGGTAATGATTTTTGTTTCTTATTAAATGTGATTATTTCTTTCTCTTCAATTTTTCTTTTTTTCTTGTAGGTGGAATATGAACATGTTGCCCAAGAATGTCGACTTGGTTATAAGGAAGGTCGTCCTTTCTCTGGGGTCACTGCTTGCCTAGATTTCTGTGCCCATTCCCACAGAGACATACACAACATGAATAATGGAAGCACAGTAGTATGTACCTGGGTCACTTGAAATTCTAAAATCTCTTTTGCTATATGCCTAGGCTGCAATTCTTATGTGTGATTATTGTCACAAGTCATGTTGTATATGCTATTAGTTGTCAGTATATAAATAGGTGATATTTATTAAACTTATTGTTACTGTTTCTAAAAACTTATAGAACTGACCTTGAATAAATACTTTTGAGCTGGGTGCAGTGATACACACCTGTAATCTCCATGACTAGGAACATCATTGGCAGGAGGATCATCAAGCCAGCCCCAGACATGGCCAGGTGTAGTGGTGCATGCCTCTAAATCCCAGGGGTTCCAGTCGCTTGAGGCAGGAGGAACATGAATTCAAAGCCAGCCTCAACACCAGTAAGGCATAAATTACAAAATAGGGCTGGTGATGCGCCTCAATGGACATGTTCCCCTGAGTTCAATCCCCAGTTCCCACAAATAAATAAATTAATATAATGTACAAAGGCCCTGGGATGTGGCTCAGAGGTTAAGCTCCTTGAGTTTAATTCCTTTACCAAAATAACTAAAGAAACGTTTACGGGTTTGCATTTTATATTTCATTGGATATTTTTGCTGGGAGGTGAGAGTGCATGGTTTGTTGAGTCTTTAATGCAACAATTCAGTGTTATTCAAACTACTATGCATAAAGTTAAGCAAGGCAATTTCTCTTTTTGTCTGGCATCCCTCAGGCTTTTTTTTTTTTTAATGTTGATACTTCACTAAGTAGCTGAGGCTGTCTTTGAACTTGTGATCTCCTGCCTCAGCCTCCTGAGTATCTGGGATTACAGGCATGTGTCACTGTGATAGGTCAATTGAACACAATTCAATAACCATTTCTCAATGTAAGTAATGAAATGAGATTGAATTCAACAAGAAGGTTGAATAGGAAGAATATCAAATATATAATTATTTTTGCAATATAATAATTTACTTATAGAATTCAATTCGATTATACCTGGACAGCTTACAGACAACTGATTAATTGGTAGAATTAAACCAAGTTGATTGTCTTGATAGAAAATATCAAAATTAATATGCCAGCAACAACTAATTGAAAGTAAAAAGGGTACTGCAGATTTCTTTCATATTTGCCTCAAAAAGAAGGTAATAATAGGGGCTGGGGTTGTGGCTTAGCGGTATGGCACTCGCCTACCATGTAGGAGGCCCTGGGTTCCTCGGCACCATTTAAAAATACAAAATAAAAATAACTACAACTGAAAAATAAACTTAAAAAAAAAAAAAAAAGAAAGTAATAATATGTAAGATGAAGATGTACAGCTTGTATTTCCCACTTTTTTTCCTCCTAACAGGTATGTACTTTAACCCGAGAAGATAACCGCACCCTGGGTGTTATTCCTGAGGATGAGCAGCTCCATGTCCTGCCTTTGTATAAACTTGCCGACACTGATGAGTTTGGGTCCAGAGAAGGGATGGAAGCCAAGGTCAAATCTGGAGCCATTCAGTTCCTTCAACCAACTTGCAAAAAAAGAACACGTTTTACTCAGCCTGTTCCTCGATCTGGGAAGAAGAGGGCAGCAATGATGACCGAAGTTCTTGAGCGCAAGATTAGGGTAGTGGAGAAGAAACAAATGCCTCGAGTCAAGCGGAAGAATAACTCTGCCCTGGCAAAGAACAGTAAAACTTCATTGGTGCCGCTCCCAGGTGAGCTCTGTGGGACCAAATTTTCTTCTGTGTACAAACTTCTTTGACACAGGGTTGGCAATTTCTCTTTCACCATATTTTTCCTGTCCTTTATCTTTACTTCCTTCTTAGGTCAAAGGCATTCTGAGAAGACAGACTTAAAAGGATAATTTACTAGATTTTACTGAGTCTCATCTTCATTATTATACTTTGTTTAGAGTTAAGTCTTACATTCCGAATATATTTCTACATTGGTATTCAAACTGAAAATTAACAAAAACATGGTCTATCTCTGCTTTGGGGGGTCGTTTTTGTTTGTTTATTTTTTAATACTGGGGATTAAATCCAGGCACACTTATCCACTGATCCCCATACCCAGCCCTATTTTGTATTTTGTTTAGAGGACAGGGTCTCACTGAGTTGCTTAGTGCCTGCTGTTGCTGAGGCTAGCTTTGAACTCAAGGTCCTCCTGTCTCAGCCTCACTTGCCATTCACATTATATGTGTGGGCCACTGTGCCCAGCTATTTTACATCTTGAGAAAGTGTCTAAGTTGCTTAGGGTCTTGTCAAGTTGCTGAAGTCTTCAAACTTGTGATCTTCCTACTTCAGCCTTCCACGTTACTGGGATTAGAGGCCTGCACCAGTGCACGAGGCTCCTAGATTGTTTTGAGCATACTGAAGAAATCACACATTATCCATTTTCATCAGTATGTATCACTAAATGTTAGAATCTTGCTTCAGCCTCTTAGTATTTGTAGTCAGTTATTCATCATCATTCCCATTAAGGATTTTTGTTACTACCATACAATAACGACAAACAAGAAAGAAAACAAATGTGAAAAAAGCCAGTGATACCATAATTCTATTATTCAGATTATTGAATCAGTATGAACTCAGTGGTAGAATCCTTTCCTAACATTTTGAGGCCCTGCATTAGATCCTCAGTACCACACAAAAAGTCACACATTTTATTTAATTAATAATATGTCAGTCAGGCCTCTCATTTTAAGCTTGCTGTCCCTCTCGGTTTTTCCGCTTTTTTCCTTTCTTTATGGAGCAGAAGAAACTATTGTTTAGAGTTAAGTCTAATTGATTGTTTGTGGTATTGGGATTGAATTCAGGTCAGGGCTTCACTCATGATAGGCAATTAATTGCTATTCTACACTATAGACTGCACTATGTCCCCATTCATTCTTCTCTGAAAAGTGTGCCTGCTAAGTGTCTTCCATTGTGGTCAGTTTTTTAAAATTTAATGTCATTTTGATCTCACAAATTTTTTGACCATTTATTTTCGATGCACATTAGGTCAACTCACACACAAATTGTGTGTGTGTGTGTGTGTTTGTGTTACCAGGTATCAAACACAGGACTTACCTGCACATAGTAGTCAAGCCCTGTACCTCTGAACTACATCCTCATCCTTCCAGTATTTTTTTTTTTTTTTTGGTGTAGATGGACAGAATACCTTTATTTTTATATGGTGCCTCACACATGCTAGGCGAGCGCTCTACCACTTGAGCCACAACCCAAGTCCCTCATCCACTAAACTTTAGGTTTTTTTTTTTTTTTTTTTAAGAGAGAGAATTTTTTAATATTTATTTTTTAGTTTTCGGCGGATACAACATCTTTGTATGTGGTGCTGAGGATCGAACCCGGGCCGCACGCATGCCAGGCGAGCGTGCTACCGCTTGAGCCACATCCCCAGCCCTCCACTAAACTTTAAAATGATTCAAATTTGTTGTAATTTTCCTATCCTTGGTCTACAGAAATCCCTTCAAGCTGGCTTGTGAATTTATGTATGTATGTCTTGTGAATTCTTTTGTTACACCCTGATAGTGTTTCTCAGCTTCTGTTACAACAGAATGTTCCAGGCTTATTTTATATAATTCTGCTCTGTATCTAATAACACCCATTTCTATAAGGAGCCTACAGAAAAATACATCATCAACTTATACTGATATTAAAACTTAGAATGAGGAGGAGGAGGCAGCATGAAAGGTTCCTAATGAATGTAATAAGAAAGAATGTAAGACAGGAAAATAATTTAATATTTTTACTGTGGGCCTTGCTGGGTTGCTGAGGCTGTCCTTGAACTTGTGATCCTCCTGCCTCAGTCTCCTGAGTTGCTGGGATTACAGATGTGTTCCACTCTACGCAATTATTGAAGAAAACCTTGTGTTATTCAAAGACTTCTTTCATTCAATATTCTTATTAACATGAAGAATTCTCTTCCTTAAGAACATAATTGTGGGGCTGGGGATGTGGCTCAAATGGTAGCACGCTCGCCTAGCATGCATGAGGCACTGGGTTCGATTCCCAGCATCACATAAAAATAAAGATATTTTTTAAAAAAAAGAACATAATTGTGACTCTTGTGTGAGATATTCTTAGGCATTAAATGTAATGAAAATATTTAAACATATTGAGTTGTTTTTAGGTCTTTTGCCTTGATTTTAACTTATTATTAATATTTGAAAACTTGATGGTTAAGGATGTGGCTCAAGTCACAGCACACTAGCCTGGCATGTGTGAGGCAATGGGTTTGACCCTCAGTACCACATAAAAATAAAATAAAGGTATTGTGTCCACCTTAAAAAAAAACCAAACCTAAAAAGTAGATATTTTTTAAAAATTTATCAACCAGCTATAATTGTTTTGAATACAGAATGTTTTCCTCTGCAAGGAGCTGTACTTTTGTGTTTTATTCACCCTTAGGGAAGCCTAATGTAACTTTCAAAATTAATTTCTTAACATTTTTAAACATGAATACCAATTGCTGAATAGCATACAGAATATTTCCACAATTGGGTGATAATACAGTATTTTTCAGTTATGTAAACTATGTGATTGTGCATTCATGTGTAAACCTATGTGTCTTTCTTCTGTCCAAATATTTTATCACTTCCTGATGTAAATATGATTTTTAAATTTATGTTTGATTTAGATATTATTTCAGTCAAATTAGAGTTACATATAAGGATGGTCTCACATGAAACAGATGCACAACTTTATCGTTGACCTACTGTTTATTCTTTGACTTAATAAAAAGCATTAAACTGTCATATATATATATATATATATATATATATATATATATATATATACTTAGAATGACAGGATAGCACTGGGCAAGTACCCCTGTGGAAAACCTTGTGCTTAGTCTGGATTGGGTTCAATCCTCAGTACAGAAAAAGAAGAATCTAGAGCTTTCCTATCTTCTTTTATTTTCACATTTATAAGATGGCTTGTTCATTTTATGAGATGAAAGAAATCATAATACAGGTATTTAATTATTACTCTTTTTTTGTGTGTGTGGTGCAGGTTAGAACCCAGGGCCTTATGCATGCAAGGCAAGATTCAGTTTCATATAATATAATATAATGTAACATAATATAATATAATACTACTTGATACTTTTTTGATGTGGTTAATGGTGATCAAACCCAGGGCTACTCAACCAATGAGGCATAACTCCACCCTTTTTTTGTATTTTATTTATAGACAGTGTCTCACTGAGTTGCTTAGCACCTTGCTAAGTTGCTGAGGGTGACTTTGAACTCCTGATAGTCTTGCCTCAACTTCCCCAGCTGCTGTGATTACAGGCGTGTACCACCGTGCCCGGCCTGCTTGATACTTTTATTTCGTTCCTTTCATGTTCCTATGATGTGTCATCTAAGAAACTTGGAAATCTTCTGAAGCTGGTTATGTTTATTGTTACATTACTATATCATAACATGGGTCCTTTACTTTTCTTTCTTGTCATTGCTAAATTGACTAATTTTCCTTTCCCGAATATTTTCCAGCTTCAAAACAAGTTTAGAATGTCTCAAGGTAAATGTTTTTCGAGTAAAAATTTTTATGACTTCCTTTACATAAAAAATAGCATTTTGCCAATTATGAGGCCTTTATTACCCAGAAATATATTTGAACTATTACTTAAACTGCGCTAGAAATGATAACATGAGGCTGGGTATGGTAGCACATACCTATAATCTTCGCTACTAGAGAAGCTAAGGCAAGTTCCAAGATCTGTCTATGCAAGTTACCAATACTCTGTCTCAAAATAAAAAATGAGGTGTAGCGAAGTCCACTGACAACTAAAAATATATTTTAAAAAATAAATTTAAAAAATTTTTTAAAATTGAAAAGTCATATAGATATTTGGTAGTTAAATATTTTTTCATGTCATTGTGTTATCACTTGCAGGGCATACCAATGTTTAGTTGAGCTTTTTGTGTATAGCCTATTAGGTCATTTTTTAATTTACCATTTTAAATGATGAATATCCATGCTTATGGATAACTCTTTGCACTTATTTCTAATTTCTAATTGCTTCCAAAAAGAAATGCGTTATGGAAAATTATGAATTAAAAACGAATACTGGGGCAAGGCATGGTGTCCCATACTGGAAAGAGCAAGGACAGAGGATTGCAAGTTCAAGGCTAGCCTCAGCTACTAAGCAAGACTATGTCACACAATGAAAAATAAAAATAAGGCCTGGCACAGTGGCATACGGGCTAATAAGGAGGCTGAGGCAGGAGGATTGTGAGGTCAAAGCCAGCCTCAGAGGCAACCTTAGTGATTCCCTAAGCAACTCAGCAAGACCCTGTCTCTATATAAATAAAGTACAAAAAAGGCCTTCGGATGTGGTTCAGTGGTTAAGTGCCCCTAGAGTCAATCCCCAGTACCAAAAAGAAAGCATGATTATGTAGCTCAGTGGTAGAGCACCTCTGGGTTCAACGCCCAGTACCACCATGATCCCAAAAATATAAATAAAAATTTAAAAAATGTCTAACAAGCTAGGATGTAGCTCACTGGTAGAGTACATGTCTAGCACATACCTGACCTTGGGCTCCTTCTCTAGTTTCAGAGGGAAAAAAAATCATAGCTTGTTTTTACATTCCTTGTTCCTTTATCTGTTTAGGGAATAATAGTGAGACAGTGCAACCTGGAATAAAAGGTGAAACTAAACATCATTTTATCTTCAAAGGTTCAGAGAACACTAAATGCTATTCATCGACCCCATCCATTCCTCCAACAGTGAATGAGGCAACCCTGTCTCCAGTATTCTGTTACCCGAAGACTTCTTCCATGCCAACAGCTCCATTTAATTTCAATAAAGTAGCCTCCTCTGGGTTTTCAGAAAGAAGTAGCATTCCCCACTGCACAATGCCTTCTGGAAGACACAGTGGTGCTAATGCAGCTGCTGGGGAAGGCACTGGAATTGCACAGCCCAGCGACCTGGCTCCTCCTCCCTCCCTGCCTCCTCCCATGACAGATTCCCTTGCTTTTTCTGAGCCTCCCACTGGTCCAACTGAGCAGCTAACTACTAATCAGCCAAATCAGCAGCCCCCATTCCTCATTTCTCCTCATGAGCCTGCTTCCTGTCTGGTGGAAGAAGATGAGCAACATTCTGAAGCAGATGAGCCTGTATCTGATGACCCCCTATCAGACGACCTTCTTTCACCTGCTGAGGAAAAATTGCCCCATATCGAGGAATATTGGTCAGACAATGAGCACATCTTCTCGGATCCCAATATTGGTGGGGTGGCAATTGCGCCCACTCATGGTTCTGTCATGATTGAGTGTGCCCGGCGAGAGCTTCATGCTACCACTGCTGTGGCCCACCCAAACCGCAATCATCCTGCTCGCCTCTCCCTTGTATTCTACCAGCACAAAAACCTGAATAAGCCCCACCATGGTTTTGAACTAAACAGGATTAAGTTCGAGGCTAAAGTAGCTAAGAATAAGAAAATGAAGGCCTCAGAGCTGAAAGACCAGGCAGCTAACAAGGGTGCTGAATTGTCCCCTGAAATAAATGAATTGAACCAAATTCCTTCTCATAAAGCATTAACATTAACCCATGACAATGTTGTCACTGTGTCCCCTTATGCTCTAACACAGGTTGCAGGGCCCTATAACCGGTGGGTCTGAAGGCTTTCCTCCCCTTCTTAATGCCTTTCCTCATGCAGTGTATTTTTTCAAGGTGCTGTTAAGAGAAAGTCATGTTGTCGTTTACTCTATCTTCATCTCACCCATTTCAAGTCTGAGGTAAAAATTTTAAAAATGGGGTGGGTACTTAACTGTGACTATTTTGTCAATTGGTAGAAGGTGCACATTTTAAGCAAAAATAAAAGTTTTCTAGTTTTAAATACATAAAGAAACGTTTTGGTTAGGTGTTAACCTTGACAGAATCACTCAGTTTGGTGCTTTAAATTAAGTCTGTTTACTATGAAACAAGAGTCATTTTTAGAGGATTTTAACAGATTCATGTTCTATGATGTAAAGTCAAGACACAGTGTTAACTCTACACAGCTCCTGGTGCTTAACCACATTGACACAGTTAAAAATAAGCTGAATCATTGTTTCATGGTGCCATGTTCCAATATCTTCCAATCATTGCTAGAAAATCAGCATTTTCCTTTGAAATAAACCAATGAAATGCTTTCTCTCTTTAAATATTTCTCCTGTATAAAATAATTCATTATTGTTTGTAATGGTTGGAGGCTGTTCGTAATTGTAAATATATATATTTTAAAAGCACTTTCTATTTTTAAAAGTAACTTGAAATAGTATAGTATAAGAATCCTATTGTCTATTGTTTGTGCATATTTGCATACAAGAGAAATCATTTATTCTTGCTGTGTAGAGTTCCATCTTGTTAAATGCAACATGTTATTTGCATCCTGTATATGATTTTTATTCTTTTAATGTGTCCTTTCACGTTATGTAATAGCTACTTATATAAAATAGTGAATAATTCCTAAAATTGGACTTAAGAAACATCATCAATATTGACTAAGTTGTTTTAAATTTTAAAATAGTGTGGTCTCTTATGATTTATTGAGCTACCATGGCCTCAAGTTACTTCCATCCCAGCTTTTTCAATATAACCCATTAAACAAGTTTCAAAAGGGAAATGGGAGAAAATGTGATTCAGAAGAGTCAAATGCTTTTAATGTGTCAAAGTGATATAATACAAAAATTAAGTAACCAGAATCCTACCCATCCCAAATTGTTTTTTTTTTTTTTGTTATGATATCCATCCTTGTATAGAATAATAGTTACTCCCTGGCCCTAGTCAAAGAATGATAATAGTATTATAAATATGGTTATACCGAAACAAAATGTTTAGAACAAGAAGAACCTTCTAAGAAATACTTGATTCTGTTAAAATGTAGAGGTGCTATAACATTCAGAGTATCAGATTCTTTGGGAGTCTAGAAAACCTAATGGTGCTTCTCCCTTGAAATGGCATAGGAAGCCCACAACTGCTAACTCATAATTTTGGTGCAAAAGCAAACAGTTCCAGCAAGGTCTCAAAAAAAAAGAAAAAAAACTCATTATAACTTATTAAAATAATATATGGTGCAAAGTATCAGTTTAAAGCTTTTGACTAAGTAAAGGAATATGAAGGGATTGTAAATAAGGACATGTCCATTAATAGACCTGTATATGTAAAATAGGGTAATTCAATGACTTGTTTTAGTATTTTCTGTGCCTTAGATATCTGTTTTAAAATGTGGCGTTTTTTTGTTTTGTTTTGTTTTGTGTTTTTGTTGTTTTTTGAGCCTAAGGTTTCTTATAAGTATATAAGTGATTGTTTATTGCTTCAGCTGCTTAAATAACATATTTTCTAGCATTTGACTATCAGGAATAGACCCTTGTGATAACTACATTTTAGATTTTAAGCCTTAGCTCCCACTAGAAGTTGTTCCCTCACCAGATATAATGGATAAAACTTTATGTCCCTTAATCCATCCATCCATCTACCCATTTTCCCAGTACACACTTATTGAATACCCGCAAAATTTAAATGTCACTTTTGTTTTTCTCTGAATCATCACCTATGAAATGGTAGAGTTGAAGAATTAAAATCCTCAATGATATCTTGGAAATATATTTTTAAAGAAATAGCAAATTACATTCAAAATAATCCATGGTAGTATATGTACAATAATTCAAATCAATTTGTTTTTATCTTTAAAAAACTTTCATAATAATCTAAACTTATAACACCAATGTTAATTAAAGGGAGTAGTGGGATTTGTGAAACTAGTTATAGTTTACCAAAACAATTACTGAGAATGCCCATTTTAAACTAAAATGTTTCCAGTCCATTGTTGTAATTAACATCATGAATGGAAATGTGCTCTTTCTCCTGAAGTGAGAAAATAAATTGGTTTGAATGACATTTTCACTCATAAAACTGGTCATCTAACATTATTTCTGCAGCTCTATTATGTTTTAGTATAATGACTTTTCTTTTTCCTCTTTATTGCACTCAAATTAGGTTTTAAGTCTGCTTTTTGTTCATGGTATGATCGTTGAATTCATTTATACCTGACTTCCAAGTTATTCCAGTTAATAATGTTACAAATTTATCAACTATAATGGCCAGGCGCAGTGGCACTCACCTGTAATCCCTGTGGCTCTGCAGGCTGAGACAGGAGAATCAAAAGGTCAAAGGCAGCTTCAGCAATGGCAATGCGCTAAGCAACTCAGTGAGACCCTATGTCTAAGTAAAATTCAAAAATGGGGGTTGGGATGTGGCTCAGTGGTCGAGTACCCCTGAGTTCAATCCCCAGTACCAAAACAACAAAATTTATCAACTATAATAAAATAACTCTTGCCTATTGTAGAATCCTACTGAAAGTATAACTGTCCCTCAAAATTCCATTTCTAGTGTTTATGAGGCCATCACTGAATTATATTTTCCCCCTCTGCTCATCAGCCTTACCTACATTTTGTTTCCAATTCATCCTTAAAGAGCCAACTAGATCATATCAACCTAATTGAAATATCTATTGGGCAACGAATCTACAATTGTAGTTGAATTTTGGGGACATTCACATCTTCAATAACTTTCTAACATCATTATTATTCAATTTGCATGTGGATGAAATGATTTGATTTGTTACATACAGAACTTCACTAGATGAGATCCATAACCAATTTACTTAAGACATAACCCCAATACATACTTAATTGAATGCATACCCTTGTGGAAATGTACCGACTTAGGTCATAGGAAGTAACCTACTTTCTAATGTTATTACTCCTGTGGACTCACTGATTATCATTCCACCATAGCATGAGTGAAACTAACCTGGAAATAGTTCTTTAAAACAAAAAAATCAAGATTTTTTTTTTCTGAGGCAAATTTAAAATATCATTGCATGATAGTTTCCACCAATAATGGGCACAGCATTTCCTTTGAACATGCCTACTAAATTGATTGGTTTATGCAGTCTTCAGTAGTTTCCTTCAATTTCACACTTTAATGCATGGAAACCTAGGTTTACTACAAGTGTGAGTTTTAATCTTTTGTAGAAATTTATGACAATTGTTAAATAAGATAACATGTTAGCTTCTCAGAATGTTGGAGTTCACCTCAGACGTCAAACAGTTCGTTCACTAGAAGCCAAAGAACAGATATCAATTTCAATTTGTAATTACACCTTGAACCTTGTACAGGTGAAGACTACTTTGTGCTTATAACCATAGAGTATAAACAAACTTTATTTTCTCACCCACAAAGTGATTTATCACTAGGAAATTGTCTTCTTTGGGAACGTATCAAAAATTAAATGCCAGGTATTGTGGTGTACGTCTGCAATCCCAACAATTCTGGAGGCTGAGGCAGGAAGATTATAAATTCAATCTAGCCTCTGAAATTTTGTGAGACTCTAAGCTAGTTAGTAATGAAACCCTGTTTCAAGATAAAGGGATACAAGTGGACTCCGTGGTAAGCACCTCTGGGTCCAATCCCGAGCACACACAAAAGAAAATAACATAAAATTGCTTTTCCCCTCCACCCTGAGATCTTTAGAAAAAGTGAACAGTGAAAATAGGTCAAAATGCCTTTGCCTGCTGACTTCATGTACTTTTGTGGGAAATTAGCTGACTTACCCATGAAGCTGTCTTTTGTTTGTTTGTTTGTTTTTTATTTAATTTGGCACGGTACTGGGGACTGAACCCAGGTCCTTATGTGTGCCACTGAACTACCTCCTCATCCCTGGAAGCTATTTTGTTTACTCTTCCTAGAAGATGTGGCAATACTCTGGCATTTCATTAAGCACATCTCAAGAGCTTCTATAGTGTAGGCTTATACTTATTCCTTCCCTTGGTACCTAGCATACATAAGGGTGTTTTTAAAATATTGGATGATTAAGAGGGCTGGAGCTGTAGCTCAGTGGCAGAGCACTTGTCTACCATGCATGTGGCACTGGTTTCAATCCTCTGCACCACATTAAAAAAAAATACAGCCATTCTGTCCATCTACAACTACAAAACAATCATTTTAAAAGATTGGATGATTGAAATATTTGAGGAAAACATTTCCATACTACCTAGCCATGGTTATACAACTCCCTTCATATCCAGCTAGGCAAGTCCCAGCAATTAATTTCGATGTGTCTCTCTGCATGAAGTGGAATATTGTTTCAACATCCATAGCTCCTAAAATTACTCATAGGTGTGTTGTAGCTTCAACACAGGTCTGTACATCATACTTAAGTAAGTGATGTCATCAGTGCCAGATTACCGAGTCTGAGTTTATCTAAATCAAATTGTGTTTCATGTTGAGTTTTCTTTTAACAGCGTTAGAAAATGTTTTCATTGTGGCTCAGGAAGGCAATTCTGAAAGTCAAAACCCGTATGTACTTCATTGGAAACTGAGTCTGCATTTTCTTAATGTATGTGCTACATAGAAACAGTAGGCTGAGACAGGATGATTAGTTCAAAGTCAGCCTCAGCAATTTATCCAGGCCTTAAGCAACTCAGTGAGACCTTTTCTCTAAATAAATATAGGGCTTAGAGATGTGGCTCAGTGGTCAAGTGCCCCTGAGTTCAATCTCCAGTGCTCAAAAAACAAAATAAACTGAATACCTTGCTGGACACAGTAATCAAGAGGATCACAAGTCAGAGCCCAACCTGGGCAATTAAGCAAGGTCCTGTCTCATGATAAAATATATAAGAGAGAGGTGGCTGGAGATATACTCAGTGATAGAGCACTCCAGTTTCAATTCCTAGTACCACATTAAGGAAAAAGGAAGTTTCTCTA